ACCTCACCAACCCAGCCGTGTTTCGGGATCTGTCCAAGCCCATCGGGGTGGCCAACGAGCGGCACGCCCGGGATGTGAAGGAGAAGTGAGTACCCCAAAAAACGAGGGACAGAGGATGTGGGGAGTGCCCGGCTGGCTTCCAGACACCCTCCCACCCCCTCCAACCTCCCCCCTAGATATGAGAGCTTCGAGGACCCCACGGGCACCGTGGACAAGTTCCACTACGGCACGCACTACTCCAACGCAGCAGGGGTCATGCACTACCTGATCCGCACCGAGCCCTTCACCACCCTCCACATCCAGCTGCAGAGCGGCAGGTGGGTGCCCAGTGGGAGCACCCCAGGGAGGCGACTATCAAGGGGGCACACAAGTGGGCTCCAGCCAGGTGTCCTGTGCCACCAGGTTTGACTGCTCAGACCGGCAGTTCCACTCCGTGCCAGCGGCATGGCAAGCCCGCATGGAGAACCCCGTGGACGTCAAGGAGCTCATCCCCGAGTTTTTCTACTTCCCTGAGTTCCTGGAGAACCAGAACGGTAAGGGGCACCCTCCATCCCCACCACAGGGACAGCACCCATGGGTGGCAGCACGGCCTGTCCCTCACCCCCTGCCTGCGCTGCCTGCAGGCTTCGACCTGGGCTGCCTGCAGCTTTCCAATGAGAAGGTGGGCGACGTGGTGCTGCCCCGGTGGGCACGTTCCCGCGAGGACTTCATCTACCAGCACCGCAAAGCCCTGGTGAGTTGGTGGAGCTCACCCCGACCTCTCCTCCACTCCCACCCCCGGGGGGGGCCGTTACAGGGCAGGGGTGGGCATTGCCAGCCCACCCTGATGCCCCGTCCTTGGGCAGGAGTCAGAGTATGTCTCAGCCCACCTCCATGAGTGGATCGACCTCATTTTCGGGTACAAGCAGCGAGGCCCTGCTGCCGTGGAGGCCCTCAACGTCTTCTACTATTGCACCTATGAGGGTGAGCCACAGGGCAGGGAGGTGGGAGGACACCTGCCAGGTAGCCCCCCATGACCACCCCCCATCCCCAGGAGCCGTTGACCTGGACGCCATCGCTGATGAGACACAGAGGAAGGCTCTGGAGGGCATCATCAGCAACTTTGGGCAGACGCCCTGCCAGCTGCTCAAGGTAGCTCATACGCCCAGCCCAAAAAAACAGCCCCTTTCAAGGGGTCACCCCCTTTCTCATGGGTTCCCTCACCCACCACCACCCCCCCAGGAACCCCATCCTGCACGGCTGTCAGCAGAGAGTGCTGCCCAGAGGCTGTCCCGCCTTGACACACGCTCACCCAATGTCTTTGAGAACCTGGACCAGCTCAAGTCCTTCTTTGTGGAGGTGAGCGCAACTCTGGGGTGTTCCTGGCCAGGACTGGGGTGGGGGGGGTGTGGTGTGTGCCCAGGAGGGTACCCACCGGTTGCTGTCTCCCCGCAGGGCATCAGCGATGGGGTGGCGCTGGTGCAAGCTGTGGTCCCCAAGAACCAGGCGCACTCCTTCATCACTCAGGGATCACCTGATGTCCTGGTGAGTGGAAGGAAACTGAGGCGTGGGTGCGTGCTGCTAGCCCAGGGGGACCAGGACCAGGCCCCAGGAGGGCTCCAGTGGTAGGAGCCACATCACCTCCATCTCTGCCCAGGTCACCGTGAGTGCCAACGGCTTGTTGGGGACCCATAACTGGTTACCCTATGACAAGAACATCTCCAACTACTTCAGCTTCACCAAAGACCCCACCGTCTCCAACACAAAGTGAGTTGGGCACACGTACCCCAGGGAAGGTCCCCGGAGGTGCCACCAGCCCACCCAAGGCTCTGCCACCATCCCATGTCCCTCCCCACCAGGACCCAGCGCTTCCTGCAGGGCCCCTTTGCCCCCGGTGCGGACCTCTGCTCCCGCACGCTGGCTGTGTCCCCCGACGGGAAGCTGCTCTTCAGCGGGGGACACTGGGACAACAGCCTCCGCGTCACCTCGCTGGCCAAAGGGAAGGTCGTTGGGCACATCACCCGGCACATAGGTACATCCTCCAACGATGATGAAGGTCCAGTGGTGCCCCGCTGGGTTTGTAGGGCCATGGGGGGATGCAGGGGACACATGAGTGGGCAGGGGACATCTCTCATCTTCTGGGGACAGTCCAGGCTCCATCCCAGAACCAGGGTAGGGTTAGCAGTGTTTCCACACCCCAAATCATGCCTTGGTGCCGTCCTGTGGGGTTGGGGTGCTGAGCATGGTGGGACAGGACCTCATGGTGTCCCTCTGGGTGTCACAGATGTTGTCACCTGCCTGGCGCTCGACCTCTGCGGTATCTACCTCATTTCTGGGTCCCGGGACACCACCTGCATGGTGTGGCAGGTCCTACAGCAGGTAGGGGGTTGATGCTTACCCCGTGATCCAGCCAAGACAAGCTCATAGTGGGTGCTGCCACCAGGTCACTGAGGTCCCTGTGTCCCCAACTCCAGGGTGGGTTTTCCAGCGGCTTGGCTCCCAAACCCGTCCAGGTCCTGTACGGCCACGACGCCGAGGTGACGTGCGTGGCCATCAGCACCGAGCTGGACATGGCAGTGTCAGGGTCCAAGGTGAGTTGGGGTAGTGGGGTGGGTGACAAGGTGGGCAGTGCCACCGTCATCACCCTGCATCCCCTTCCTCCCCTAGGATGGCACCATCATCACCCACACCATCCGCCGGGGTCTCTTCATCCGGTCCCTGCGGCCACCCGGCGAGAGCTCTCCACCCGCCGTCCTCTCCCACCTGGCTGTGGGGCTGGAGGGGCAGGTGGTCGCCCAGACCACCGTGGGTCAACGAGCCTGCTTGAAGGTATGGCCAGGCGCGTCCCCGTGTCCCCCTCCTCGTGGCTGTCAGTGCGTGTGTGGCCCCCTCTTCGCTGTGTCTTGCAGGACAGGTTTGCGCTGCACCTCTACTCGGTGAACGGGAAGCACCTCTCCTCCGTCCCGCTGGACGAGGAGGTGACGGCCATGTGCCTGACGGAGGACTTCGTGGTGCTGGGGACCATGCAGTGTGGGCTGGAGATCCGTGACCTCCAGAGGTGAGGGCTACCACCCACCTTGTCCCACCCCAACCACCCCCTCGGGGTGCCCAGAGGGGGGGTTCAAGGGGTCCCCTCCCACTGCTCGTCTCCTCCCAGCCTCAGGGCGGCCGTGCCCCCCGTGCCCATGCGGGTGCCCGTCCACAGCGTGTCCGTCACCAAGGAGAAGAGTCACATCTTGGTGGGGTTGGAGGATGGCAAGCTCATCGTGGTGGGGGCCGGGCAGCCCGCGGAGGTGAGCGTGGACCCCCAGCTCAGGTTGAGAGGGGGTCATGCCTCAGTGTCCTCTGGGTGCTGATGGGCTGGGGACCCCTCTGCTCTGGGGAGCTGGTCGGGGGAGAGGGGGTAGAGATAAGGGGAAGGGGATGTGGGAAAAGAGAAGGGATGGAGGTGGGGATGGGAATGGAGGTGGGTGGTGATGAGGAAGGTGTTGGAGAAGGGATGGGGATAGGGATTTGGAAGGGAAAGGGGATGTGTGTGTGGAGCAAAGGATGGGGTTGGGAAGGGGATGAAGATGGAAGGGGCTGGGGATGATGGGTGTTTGGAAGAGAGTGTGGATGCAGATGGGAGTGGAGAAGGGGATGGGTATTTGGGACATGATGGGGATGAAGAGTGTGAGGATGGAGATGGACATTTGGGAGGTGATGGGGTGGAGAAGGGGATGGGGATGGAGATGGGGATGGACATTTGGGACATGATGGGGTGGAGAAGGGGATAAGGATGGGGTTCGAGAGGAGGATGGACATTTGGGAGATGGTGGTGATGAAGATGGGGTTGGAGAAGGGGATGAAGATGGGAGTGGAGAAGGGGATGGGTATTTGGGATGTGATGGGGATGAAGGACGTGAGGATGGGGATGG